CTTGAGTCAAAGTTACTGAATTTTTGAAATATATATTAGCAATACCTTGAGAAAATAACTTTTTTTTTAAAAAAAACAAATTTTATTTTCAAAAACGATATCCCTAAACCATAACGTTTACATTTAATGAACCTTTTTTTTTTTTTGAATGACAATTGAATAAGTAATAGCAGCGATAGAAGCTTATATAACAATAGCTTATAACAATAGTGATAATTTATATAGCCAGTTATCATATTTTTTTTTCATAAAATCCTTTCTTTTTTTTTTAACAATAAATTTAAGCCAACCAAAAATTTATAATACCGACCTTAATAATTTCGAGTATGTGTCTGAAGATTATGAAGAAGATACTGAGAGTACAAGCTTGGCTATTGAATCTGAAAGTATTATAACAGAAAGTGGTAGTGTTATAACAGATAAATTTGACTTTGATATAGAATTGAAACCATTTCTTTTCAACTATACAAGCTTTAATAAAGCACGTGAATTGGCAGAAGCAGAAGAAAGGGAAGATTTCGATATTCTAAGAGAAAATCATAATAATACTGATACAGACAGCGGCAACATAGTATCAACTTCGACATTCGATTTTGAACCCAGATTAGATGATGAAAATGAATACCTTGTTGAAAATATTATTGAGACCAACACTAAAACTAGACTTAGTTAGCAATTGTCGCCTTGTCCAATTCTGAACGTTGTTGATGGCAATATTAAATGTTGTGGAGACTATTCTGAATCACAAAGACCACTTTCTCAACTTATTGGAGCATGGGAAATAGATTCTGAAATTTTTCAACAAACCCAGGCAACAGATAGATTATTGATGATAGGAGTTTGTTAATCACATTTTCTTTTTGACCAAAACCAGCTTCACGAAGCACATATTAAAAAGGAATGATCAATTGAAGAAAGTTGGATATTTTGCTGACAATGCTTGTTTTGCAACAAGTATAAATATTTTTTTAGTAGGGGTAGAACTTGCATATAGCATTCACGACGTATCTTTGGAAAAAATATACAAATACCCTGTACAGGTCTTATGGTTTGTCTCATATTTGATGAAACAGAATCAGAAAATGTTACAAATAATAGGGGAGCTGAATATCGACCCAGAAATGTATGTTCAGAATGTTTTGTTAGACAAGGAGGTCATTTCTATGAACGATATAGCCGTGGATGTCCAAAATTTCAGTGTAAACATTTACACAAAAATGATACAAATGATAGACTTCGAATTTTGGGTCATTGGATCTTGCGCATAGCTGAAACCTCTGATGAGGGTAAAAAAAAGGCCCTCTTAACATACTTGGTTTCTATTTTACTGACATTTTTTGACACCAGGTCATTTTCAGTAACCGCAAATTCACCTAGGCTTCTTTTTATTAAAATGGCTTTAAGACTAGGTCATGTCAATATGACCAATATTATAGATCAAAAGCTTGACATTACTTCTGAAACTGTATCAGATTTAGAAAAAGCATTAGGAATAGCAACATGGAATGCACGAAATGAAGTATGAAATAAAAAAGTAAATCTTGAAAATCCAAGATCTTTAGTTGAATATCAAGGTGGATTTCCATTATGCATTTCCAATTTTTTTAATGGATCCATTGAAACATTACAAAAAAAAAATATAACATACTTGCAAAAAAAAGACAACAAAGGAACTTATACTGAAAACTTTTGATAAGGATCGTGTAATAAGAATATCTGTGTTTCTTATTTCAATAATATTGAATATCGCATTTCCAGGTATTAATATATGGTTAACTCATATGATGAGCACCTTATGTAGAAAACCAAAACTATACCACTCTCTCTACAATATACTTTGTGTTGCCAATGTAGTATCACACACACAATAGCATGAAAAGATCCTTGAGAAGGCCTGACGATATGAGGCAAAACCTGAAACAAGGTTATTACATAGCGAATATATATAGAATCTTTTAGTTATTGACAATATTGATTTTATAGAAAGGACTTTTATGTATGGAAATATCTATGATGCAGTGTGAAGAACTGCACATGCCACATTAAGAATGGTCTTTCAGTTTATAATGCCTATACAACTACGCTGTCGTAATCATATAAATATTAGTGGTCCTCGTGAAATTAATTAGTTTTTTTTTTTTTTTTTTTTTAATATTGAGGTGACCACTTAGGCCCCTGGCACTTTATTAGTTCAAACGGGTGGGC